AACAGCTCCTCCAGACTCCGTTCAGATATTTGGTATTTTACGGTGAACTGGTTCCGGAGTCTGTGTGAAAGTATCTGATCTGTTCTTTAATTCGGCTCCGACTTAAAAACCCTCAAGAAGCTGTTTTCAACCAAAGTTAACTTTATATTGTGGGCAGGAGGCTACAGTCCATCAGAACCAGAACCAGAACCAGAACCTCATTAACAGTTTGTTTCCATCTGCACTCTCATTAACAAGACCTGGATCCCCACTAAACCCACTCTGTATATATACATTACATTAATTAAACCACCCTGTATATATACATTAATTAACCCACCCTGTATATATACATTAATTAATTAACCCACCCTGTATATATACATTAATTAACCCACCCTGTATATATACATTAATTAATTAACTCACGCTGTATATATACATTAATTAACCCACCCTGTATATATACATTACATTAATTAACCCACCCTGTATATATACATTACATTAATGCACTCCCGTCTTCTGGACAGTCTTCTTTTTTTCTCTTAAAATATAAATAAATGAAGATAAAAGTATTTATTTTTGTGTGATTTTTGTGTAATTGTATATTTTTGTGTGATTGTATATTTTTGTATGATTTATATATTTTTGTGTGATTTATATATTTTTGTGTGATTGTATACTTTAAGCACCAATGCACAAAGACGAATTCCTCGTATGTGTAAAAACCTTCTGAATCTGGGCTGAAGCTGTTATATCTGTCTAACTAGTGAGCTCTAATGAGCTCTAATGGACAGAGAGTTCCAAGCTGCAGGACGCTTTAAATACAGAGTGATTTAAATAACATGATCATAACTAAAATAGTTCAGAAATTTATTTTGTCTATTTTGTGGGTTGGGAATACCTAAACAAACAACCGACACGATGATGGAGCTGTCTCTGTCCTCTGTCTCCTGCTTCCCTCTCCCTCTGTGCTCTGTGTCCTGGCGCTCCTCTCCTCCTGCCTCCTGTCTCTTGGTCCTGCTGGTCTGGCCCCCTTCCAGCAGTGGACGAGCTCAGTGATGCGCGGAGAGTTTTGCGTCCCACATGTCTCTGTTGTACTCAGTTCTGTCTGGTTTTGTATGGGGTTGGTGTATCCACGGGAGCTGGAGGTCTTGGTCATCTCCCTGAAAGGTTGAAAGGAGGAACACGTTACACAAAGAAACTACACAGTTTATATGAGTATTAAACATTAGGATAGAGTCACATGGTGTTTCTCTCCTCTGCCTGTGTTTGTATCGCAGTCTTGTGGTTTGTTCCATAGCCGGTCTGCTCGATGAAATGCTGTTTTATCTCTCGTCGGTGATTAAGGTTATTTTTTCAGCGATTCTATAATATCTAAACTAATAACATATTAATTTGATTAAAAGGATCATAAAATCATGACAGTGTTGTTGTGTGTTGCAAATAAATCTATTATATTATTGATCATTCCTGACAGATCAACACCTGTTGAATCTTATATTTTGTGTGTCATGTGAGTTCTGTAAACTAATGTTTGTGTTCATTAATTTCTTTTTATACACAGAAGAAAGAAAACGGGAGGGTTTATCCTTTGTTAACTTCTGCTGTAAAAAGTCATTTATTAGGTCCGGTCAGTCGTTTTTATGGGATTTATTAAGTTCAATCCCTGTGGCTCACAATGTCACACCAACCTCCATTCAAAAACGGGGTTTTAAGGAAGTAAACGTTTATTTCATCGTGAACTCTGTTATTCATTACAGGACACATCTGTACTTGACTCATTTAACATCACTACTAACTGTGAGGAGAGTTGACACAGACACACTCATGCTGTCTGTCATTAACTATGGTGAGGAAGAGTTGGACAAATCACACTACTGACTGCTGTCTTACATACTTGTGAGGAAGAGTTGGAAGAAACTCACTGACTGTCTGCATTAATAACCTGTGAGAAGAGTTTTGGAACGAACCTCACATGGAGCTGGTCTGTCTTAACTAACTGTGAGGAAGGTTTGGAACAGACACATCACTGACTGGTCTGTTATACTGGTTGAGGAAAGAGGTGGACCAGACAATCTGACTGTCTTGTCTAACTAACCTGTGAGGAGAGTTGACTCACCTGGTCGTGGGTTGGCTCCTAGACAGGGTCCTCTCTCATACCGGTTGAGGAAACGGTCGTCTGACGCTTGTTTTGGTTTTAGTGATAGAACATTAGTGTTTATAGGAAACATTATAGAAACATCTAGTATGATAGAAACATCTAGTGTTATAGAAACATTATTCATTATGGTTGCAGGGCTGATTCACTTTGAAGGATGCAGGTATGGAGCGGTGCAGATTACCCCGCCGGCCGTGCAGCAGCAGCTGGTCTCGGTTTATATCTGGAAGGGGAGCAGGGTTGTCAGAGTCACTGATCTGGGGAGGAGCTTCATGAACAATGGCGGCTGTTCTCCTCCAACGCACAGGGTTTCACAAAACACCCGTTTAACATCAACTGAAACCGTCAGTTATAGTATTAGCTTATTAGCCCCTCTGCTAATGGCTCGCTCTTGACTTAGGCGACGTGCAGCGACTGGGAGGAAGCAGATCGAATCAATCATCTATCAATACTGATTCATATCAGTGTTTCCTCTCTGGGCTCCGTACTGAACCCACACTATACTATGAGTTGGAGAGAGGCTTCCACTGCATCAGAAGCCCCTCTGCATCATGCACGGGAGGACATTAGAAACAAGCACTCACACTGACAGACCAATCAGACACAGCATCACACTGCAGCCTTCTCAGTGCATCTGGGATATGGGGTCTCATCATTCAATAATATATAATGAGACTTCACTGACCGATGATCATTTAGCATATTAAATTACTGTAACAGAAGGGAATAGATTATTTTATCACTGTTTGTGTAGATCCAATAAGAGCGGGACCTATTATACCTCATTAGAGCTTCTTAATCTTATTAAACCTCTTTAATCCTTCTTAAGCCCATTAGGTATTAAACTAATAAACCTCATTTAGAGCTATTAGCTCTTAAACCTAATTAATCTCATTAAACTCATTAGAGCTTTTAATCTCATTATAACCCATTAATCCTCATTAAACCTCATTTATCCATTAAAACCTAATTAACCTCATTAGAGCTTCATTAATTCCTCATTAAACATCATTAATTCCTCTTAACCATTAATCCTATTAAACTCATTAGAGATCATTAATCCTCATTAAATCCACTTAATCTCTTAAACTCCAATTAGAGCTCTTAATTCATTAAATCTCAATTAACTCATCTAAACCTCATTAATCCTATTAAACTCTTAGAGTCTTAGAGCTATTATCCTCATAAACCCATTAATCTCATTAAACCTTTCATTAATCCTCATTAAACTCCATGAGCTCTTAAATCCTCATTTAACACCCATTAATCCTCATTAATCCTTCATTAACTCCATTGAGCTCATTAGGCTCATTATCCTCATTAATCCTTTAAACCCATTAGGCTATTAATCTCTATTAAACTTCATTATTCCCATAAACCTATTAACCTATTACTCATTAAACTCCATTAGAGCTCATTAGAGGCTCATTAATCCTCTTTTAACTCCTATTAATCCTCATTTAAACTGCCATTAGAGCTCATTATCTATTAAACCTATTAATCCTCATAACTATTAATCCTCATTAATCCTATAAAAACTCCATTAGAGCTCAATCTAGAGGCTCATTTAATCCTCAATTAACCTCCATTATCCTCATTTAAAATCATTATCTCATTAATCTCTCATAAAACTCCTTAG